TCTTGCAGGAAGTGAGCCTTGCCAGCTGAAGCAGGGAACTGGCTAAGGCAGCTACACTCTGGTCTGACCATCAGAAAGCAAAAGACCCGAGAACTCCAAAGATGAGGCTCACCGAGCCATTTATCTCTCTGCACTTCAGTAAACCCCATATGTGTTTATTGGCCAGGTTGGCGCAATAAACGTTAACTATATCAATGTGCAAGACTTCTTTCACAGAAGTTATCATTGTAATCCTTTTGTCTGGTTCATATTCCTCAAAGAAAGCAGATAAGGTAGGCAGTGTGTACATTTTATTTTCATCCAATTTTTTTTTGCCAAAGCTGAAGTTTCATTTGGAATGATTGGATCTTTTCAGATAAATCGAGGCATGTTGCATTTGGTCCTTGCAGGGATAAATTTAACTCATTCAAGATGGCAAAGATGTCAACCAAGTAAGCTATTTTCTGCAGTTCACTTTTACCGCTGAAAAGTGCTGTGAACTGCAGTGTTGCTTTCTGATTAAAAAACGTTTTGAGTTCATCATGAAGCTCAAAAACAGGTTTTAAAGCTTTTCCTCTCAAAAAAGAAAACCAAAACCTTTTCCTCTCGACAACCATCTCACTTCAGTGTGAAATAACAGAGCATTATTAGGCGCATTCAACTCATTGCACAGTTGCAAAAACATCAACTGTTTAAAGTGCCCGCCTTTACAAAATTGACAGAACTTATGATGCTTTTCATTACTTCTTGTAACTCTTGTGGCAGCATCTTCATTGCTAATATTTGCCGATGAATCATACAGTGAGTTCTGATGACTTTTGGTGACTCATTCAGTACCAAACATTGAAATCCAGATAGACATCCTAGCATAGCTGGAGCACCATCTGTGCAAACACACAAACCTTTTCCCAAGAGATCTTATGCTCTTTCAGAAATGAACCGACTGTGTCAAATACATCACGTGCAGTAGTTGTCGCTCAAGAGGTTTGCCATCTTTAAAGTCACCATCATTAATATACCTCACGTAAACCAGTTACTGTGAACAGTTTGCAACGTCTGTAGATTCATCAAGCTGGATGCTAAATATTGGAAGTGGAGCAGATTTAATTTCCTGGATTACCTGATCAAGAATATCAGCAGACATGTCATCTATTCTTCTGTAGACAGTGTCGCTAGATAAGGAAATTGCACTCAATTTCGTAACAAATTCGTCTCCAATCATAGCTCAATCAATGTCTTTGGCTGCTGGCAACAGTAAATCCTCAGCAGTGGTGTGAGGTTTGATAGCTCTGGCGATTCTGAGTGCCACCAAATATGAAGCTTCAACAGCTGCTACATTTTGTTTGTGGTACTTGCCACCAGCGTCAGGTCTGGCTTTCTTGAGTCCATCAGCTTTGCTTCTAAAATAGTTGGGATCCTTGCTGGCAAAGCTCGGATGCTTGCTATCAAAATGGTGTTTTAGTTCGTTCAGCTTCATAGATTTGGCTCATAGAACTTCACAACAAATAACACATTGCGGTCTATCAATTCCTGCTGTAATTATTGAGGTAAAACCATACTGTAAAGATCCTCACTGTATTTTTTCTTAACATTCTTCTCTACACAATCCATTGTCATGGGATGGTTTGCTAATGAAAAC